GTGCCAGGCTGTTCTCACGCAGTGTTGTCGTGTCCCTGCGGTGCCAGGCTGTTCTCACGCAGTGTTGTCGTGTCCCTGCGGTGCCAGGCTGTTCTCATGCAGTGTTGTCGTGTCCCTGTGGTGGCAGACTGTTCTCACACAGTGTTGTTGTGTCCCTGCGGTGCCAGGGTGATCTCTCACAGTGCTGGTATCTTCCTGCAGTGCCAGTCAGTTCTCACAATGCTGTTGTGTCCCCGCAGTGCCATGCGAGTCCTGCTCTCGAAGCTGCCGAGGCCCTGGATTGTGGATGAGAAGAAGGACGATGGCTACACTGCCCTGCACTTAGCTGCCCTCAACAATCACGTGGAGGTGGCAGAGCTCCTGGTGCACCAGGTAAGACCTCGGTCCCAGCGCTGGAGGCCTGTCACTCTCCCTGGTCATCTGGGGAAAGGTATCACACCCATCCACCCATTTTCTAAGTGCTTTATCCAGTACAGGGTTGCGAGAAGATAAAGCCTGTCCCAGCAAGCAGGACGCGTCTGGATAGGAACCCAGTCAATTGCAGGGCACACAAGCACACACACTCACACTAGGGTCAGTTTTCCCAGAAGCCTATTAACCTACAGTACCAGTGTTTTTAGACTGTGTGAGGAAACTAGAGCACCCAGAGGAACCCCCATGAACTTGGGGAGAACATACAAACTCCACACAGACAGCACCCCAGGAACCGAACCCAGGGCTCCAGTGCTGTGAAGCTGCAGTGCTGACTACAGAGCCACTGTGCCGCCTGAGGTGTTGAGCCCCTAATTTGAAATTCAGCTGCATTGTGGGGGAAAGCTCATGTCCTCTTCCTTCCTTCCTGTCTAAAAGACAGGTTTGCTAAAGGCATCGAAAGTGTCTTTAACTAGCCCCATCACTGATTTCTACCAGCTGTACGGGAAGACAGTGTTCCTACAGTAAGCTACCTGCATTCCTCTTACACCTCTTCAATTCTGAATTGCTTCACCTGAGAGACCTGGCAAGGGTTGTTAATCTAGAGACTCAAATAGCACTGCATCTGCGTGCCTGAGTATTCCGATGATTTTTTTAAGAAGAGAAATTGCTATGAACTATTTCCACAGAACTGTGGGATTGTGCTCTTGAGTTTCAAATAGGCTATACGTCTGCTTTTACCAGAATCTAGGAGGTCGGTGATGCCATCAGTGTCATGCGGCATCTAACCGTGTTTGAATCAATGTTCTTGCTCCTTGGCCATTGAAGAGCCCGTAGTCCTGTTTGAAGGATCAGTGCTGTTAGTGTTAACCCCTGTGTCCTGGCTAAATTCCACTCTGTAATATCTGCACTAGCCCCAGGTTTCCCCTTAACTGAGCTGGTGAAGTGATTCTTCACCTGCTCTGCTGTTTAAGGAGGCTTCTAAAAGATACTGGCTGCTACTGGCTGCCATGTGTCACCCATGTGGGTGTGAGGAATGAAGTGGGTCGCCTCCTGTATATGCAAAACACGTTACCTTCAGGGATGAAAAGTGCTATATAAATGCAAGGAAACACAACCCAGGAGTCTTCTCTGTCTCTTTCCCACCTGAGCTCCTCAGCAGAGTTGTTCTTGTAATTAAATATGAACGTGCTTATTTTGAATACAGGCGGTATCATAAAAGCTGTAATTTGTGGGGTTGGTGGGGGCTGAGGCAGTCTAGCAGTGTGAAGAAGGGAGAGGTGTTGCGGCACTCAGCTGGGTCTTCTTTAGGGTCTGACCAGGACCACAGGGGCTGGCCCATATGCACTTAATTACAACACTGATTAATATGTTCAGTTTTTCAGCGCATATGCTGTTGAAATGAGAAGTCAATTAAATTTTTATTTCCATTCCATTTATTTCCATTGCACACATTCTCGTATAGTCCAAAAGGCTTTTGTGTAAGGGGAGCTGATGGTTTTCCTGGTCTGCTTCTGTATCATGGTCAGTTTCACGGAAACCTTGTACATGGTCATTATTTGATAGGCACCCTCAACATTTCCATTGCAGAAAATATATTTTTTTTTGCTATGGGTGTGATTTTGGTGAATCTTTGGTAAAGCTTAGAAGTATGGAAATGGTACATCTCTGCTCCAGATGTGCCTTTTGATAGCAATAAGAAAGGAAAAAACGTGGCAAAGTACTCAATAAAGAAATCTCGGTTCTTGAATCATTCTGAAAGAATACATTGGTTTCTGGCATTAGTGCAGGAGAAGTGAGTTTTTCAAACCTGTGTAATATCTTTGATCAAGTTAACCTGGTTGTGCTCGTTCCTTTACATTGTGAAAATTTAAACTCAAACAAAGCTTAATTATGATGGTTTTCATGCTGTCATGTTGTTTTGTTTTATTATTTTGCTTCAGTAGTTTTCGAGTGGCGTTTCTCGTGCCTGTTGGAAGTCGATCTGTTCTGTGAAGGTGATGGGAAGAGAAAATCAAGTCCTCCCTAATCTGATCGGTTTCTCACTGTAATGATGTCACACAAGGCAAAACTGGAACTTCTTCGTCTCAATGCATAGTCATCAATTTAACACAAACCCGTCGTAGTGCATCGCTCAGTCACCCCCATCCCTGCTGTCCAGCAGCACTACAGTATGTTATAGCTCAGCTCCTCACCAGCAGGTACTGGGGGGGCTTGGTAAGACTTGGTGGGAATATAGATGGAGCAAAATACTGGCAAGTCCTAGAGGAAAACCTGCTTCAGACCTAAAACTGTCAAAACCCCTTTCAACAGGACAGTGATCCAAAGCTCAAGGCCAGAGCTGCACTGCAGTGACTTAAGAATGATAGAGTGAGATGCCATTGCATGGGCCAGAGTCCCCACTTGAATCCTATTGAAAATCTGTGGACAGGCTTGGAAGCTGCTGGACCCCAAGCAGCTTGAGAGGGCTCGGGCCAACCGCATCACGTCTGTGTGTACCAGTTTGTTTCTCTCCAGCTTTTGCGGACGTTTCCCATATCTTCTCTCTCCCTTAGACGTCTTTTGCTCATGGAGGTTTATCGTTTTTAATTTCACAAAAGGGGGACTGCATGTGACGTTGTGAGGTACTGCGAGCACACCCATGCCTGATGTGTGTGTGTGTGTTGCTCCTGCAGGGCAGTGCCAATCTGGACATTCAGAATGTGAACCAGCAGACGGCTCTGCACTTGGCAGTGGAACGCCAGCATACCCAGATCGTCAGGGTAAGTAGCTTCCTCTTCATTGAAGATCCTATCGGACATAACTATTCATCTCTTTCTCAAAATCAAAGTGGCAGAAAAGTTCATTTACATTTGCAGTGGGTTCTGCAGTGGGAATTTAGCCTTGGATAAAATTGATGCAGTGCCAATGAAAAAGCTGTGAAAGAAAAATGAACAAGTTACCAAAACAGCACCATCTTGTGGATATGAATGGAACACCCTTTCTGTAAATGACACCTGGTTGAGTGTGAGGATATTGCTAGAAACTAGAGAAGCTGGAACAGATATGCTGAAATGAATCTTGTTACATGTTGTGTGTATGGGTAAACTGAGAATTACAAGTAATATTCCCCAGGCTTTTAGGTGTTTCAGTGTAATTACTGCACTTGCAAAGGGTTCTATTCTGAAAGAATTGGTTGTTAGTGCACACTATGAATTGAATTATCCAGATACTTAATCTAGATGTGTTTTATGAACATGAGCGTTTCATATGTTTACAAGTGCCTTGTTGTCCCTTGAGTGTTTCACTTTGGTTCATGGTTTGGGAATTAAGCCCAGGGAGAGTGAGGATACTGCAGTGTGTTCCTGGTCAGGAGGGCTGATGGGCTGTTTTCTGTATACTGGGTTCAAGTTCCTTTTAATTCCTGGCAGCTGAGACTGCTAGATCAGTCACAGGGACACCCGTCTGTCTCTGAAAACTCCTGCTGCAGCTACAGGACTCTCTGCTTTGATAAGTTCAGTACCAAAAAAGATCAGAAGTCAGTTTCAGGAGGTGGGTATCGGGCTTCATGGTAAACCAGTTTGATGTAAGGATTTTTAATAGAGATTTGTTTCCGCTTGATCAAAAAAAATACAGTTTAAAACACAGCTCAGCAGCCTGTTAATACGCCAGACATTCAAGCATTTTCCAGTACAAACAACGTAACCTTGCAAAGTTACATTCCCAGCGTTGGAGAAGCATATTTTTGAATAATCCTTCTACTTTATCTCAGCCGACCACCATTGACCTGACAGTATTTGTAATCATTTACAAGTGGTATAGATATGATATACAGTAAGTACATTTGTACAGTTAGATATTCTAGTCCTGGAGATAGGGAAGAAGTCACTGGTATAAATTTATGCAGATTTACAGGGCTAATCTCACCAAACAGTGATGAATGAAATAGGCAAATCCAATTTCTTAGCATTAGAACCCCTTACTGATACTTACTTCAACAACGGCCTAATACAAATCTTCGTTTTCGTATTTTTATCACTTTTTAAAAATGATTCAATTAAAGGCTAAAATAAAATGATTTTTTTAAGCTGCCAAAACCATTCTAAGAACTAGATTCATAGCTGTCTGTCTGTACTGGTGAGGTAACAAGAGACTGAAGTTCTGATGCGAGCAGCAGATGCAAATATTCTCACTTTCTCATCTGTCATCTTGCAGTATTGTGCTTCTTTATTTACTTTGGATATTGGCACTGTGTGTCTTTGAGACCTAGACCAGCAGATGAAGGCAAACAAATCGGAGCAGCTCGCTCCTGTCAACCTGCTGTGTGAAGAAGAGAGAGGTTTTGGGGCACCGCTCTAGAAGGAGATCGAGCCCAGGCCAGGGCCACAGGGGCCCATCGGCACAGAGCTCCTCCTGGGTCTTGGACTGCTGATAAGTGGACTAGAGCGCACATGATTAGAGCGCACGGCGTCCTGGCCAGATTTCCGATTGGCCCTTACCAATCATGGCCTCCTAATAACCCCCATCTCTGAAAAAGACTGGCTCCATCACTCTGCTCTCCTCCCCACCGAGAGCTGGTGTGTGGTGAGCGGACTGGAGCATCATCCAGGTGGGGCTGCACACTGGTGGGGTGGGGGGGATCCCCATGACCTGTAAAATGCTTTGAGTGGAGTGTCCAGAAAAGCGCTATATAAGTGCAGGCTATTATTATTATTATTATTATTATTATTATTATTATTATTATTTCACCCCCAACATAGGTCTGTCACGGGGAGCACCCCCAAAAATTCTGGTCCCCTGTTTTACAGCTGGGTGGACTGCAGCAAGTGGAGTGAAGCTTCTCCATCAAGGAATAACGGCACTTTCTGCAGCAGGGGCTCGAACCCACGATCTGTCAATTACGAGCCCCAAGGCTGACCCCCGTACACTAGTCCGTCCCTCCCAGAACTGTGGTGTGGTTTCAAATGTTTGGATCTGGATTCGTCCCCCCTTTTCTCAACTGTGGAATCATTTTAAAGAACGAAGAGGGAAAAGTACAGACCTAACTAATTGAAACGTAATCACATTAAGAACCGAAACCACAAGGGCCATTAAGATTTTGTGCTCAATTAGCAGCTGTGGTAATGATCCTAGCACTGTGACCGAGCAGGAATAGCCTTTTCAGCTTGAACATCTGTGCTGCAGACTGGAGTGTAATTCTCCTCTATCAGTTGAATCCATTTAGAACATAGGAAGGAAGTCAGTGCAGTTTAAAGTTTGGATGAATTATGTTGTAGATCTAGTGTGTGGGGAGGAATAATTTTGTCTCATAGCGAATGTCTAATTCCAGTTACACCCAGTTTAGAAGCAGCACCGTGGTCTGAGAACAACATGTGAGTAACGCATGGCAAGAGAAGGCTTTTCCCATTCCTTTGTCAGGGGGGAAGCCTGCTTAATCACAGGAATGTTCCAAGGATCTGGTTGTCACTCCCAAACTCGAACTGTCAATCAAATCACTCCAGAAACAAAAAACAGATTAGATAATGGGTACATCTGGAATATTCTTGTTCTCTTTAACTTACATTGCTTATCTTTACTTATGTAGATGCTTTCCATCACAAGGAGTGACGATTTTGTGATGCATCTCCTCTGTGTATACGTAGGCAGATAAGGGACTGAGAGAATAAAGCAGTCCACAATGCAGTAGCTTGATTTTCATTTTACTGGAAACACTGTCCTAGAAAAACTTCCTTTATGAGAACTGCAAACCACTTGTGCAGAAAACGGATAGTATATTTGAGGTAAGACTTTTGGCAAAATAGCAAGTTTGTACGAATGCTTTGAGGTGCCTTTCAGAATGAAAATAGTTGTTTTGCACCTGACAGCTCTGTTTCCATAGAGAAGACAAGCTTCTAGTTAGAGATCCGAGTTAGAATGTGGGGCTGTGTCAGTGTGTGAGTTGCAAAGGAGCAGGTGCAGCTGATTCCATGCTGAAAAGTATAAAGAAGGGAAAAAACACGACCTATCTGTGGAGCCTTCCTCATGCTTTCAAGAGCCTTTTCCTGCCGCTGATGAGGCTGTCAGGTTGATTGTATTTAATGTTCCATGTCTGTTTGAGCTCTAGTTTGCTCTTGATCCACAGAAAACTGATACAACATTGTGAGAATCCTGTATCTGATGCTGACATGACGTTAATAAAGCTAAACTCAGCTTGGCAGTTGCATGAAATGCCTATGCACCAAACAGCTGTCTGTCTTCAGCAACGCAGCCAAACACTTATATCAGATCTGACTCTGGCTTCTTTGTTTCCTTTGTTGTCCATTTTCTTAAGAAATTATTTTCTTTTTTCTAAAGTAAGTGTCAATCTGCTGTAGCTATGGTTTACCTAAAAATGCATAAATTGTAAAACATACATTTTCTTTATTATTCTGTGCTTTATTGGAGATCTTTAACTGACAGCTTGAGGTTTTTTTCCTTGAATTTCATCGGGCCTTTAAAGAGCAAAAATAATAATGCTTAACTAACACAGTTTAAATTAAATGCCCAAAAATCTTATGACGACACAAACATGTTTTACTTTAGCTAGGAGTTCCTCATAACAATGGTTTGATTATCCTAATTCTAACCTTGAATTCACTAACCAATTATTAATCCAATGCATTCATTTCCCTGCATGCCAATGCCTGCCTTTTACCATCTAAAAAATCTAATATACCGGTTATACTATGTGCTCTCTCTCCCCATTTCATGGGTTTGGTGCAGCATTAAAATTGTCCGTCCTCTCAGTAGCTATTACCCCTCTCATTTCATAAGAAAGATTATAAACAAGAGGAGGCCATTCAGCTTGTCTCACTTGCTTGGTAATTAGTAGTCCTGTCATTTTTAGGTATGGCATCACTTGGCGTTAGCATAATCCTGGCAGTGGTGATGCACAGACCTGATCAGCCTGTGTACAGAATGCTGTGGGATGTTCTGCCACACTCCGATTGTATAGCAGCACCCAGCTGCTGACCTGGTTGCAAGCAGCTTATTCAAAGCGAGCACACTGAGCACAACATCCCCACACTCTTCAGTCAAGCCTGTCCAAGGCAAAAGGGCATTATCAGTGACTACAATACTCCACTGTGGCTGGCTCTCTCCAGGTGAGGGGACAGCTGCCCCAGGTGGAGGGGGTTCGGTACCTCGGGGTCTTGTTCAGGACAAGGGCGGAGGGGATCGTGGGATTGACCTGTGGATTGCAGTGCAGCGGCTACAGTAAAGCAGACAGTGTGCCACACTGTGGTGGTTGAGCAGGACCAGAGCTCTTGTATTTCAGGCCCCTGTGTGTCCCCATCCTCACCTAAGATCACGCGCTCTGGGCAGTGACTGAGGGAACGAGGTTGTGGGGGAAAAACGGCTGAAATGAGGTGTCTGTGCAGGGCTGCTTGCCTTGCTCTTTACAACAGGGTGAGGAACTCGGCGGCCTGTGAGCTCCTGGGAATCCCATAGGAGGAGCTGCAGGCTGTTTCAGGGGAAAGGGGAAGTCAGGTCTGCCCTGCTCTGCCTGTTACACCACGGCGCTGCCCAGGAGTATGCAGTTCGAAAACAAATGAATACCTGTCACTCCCTCTGATGTGTTCTGTCCATGGGAGATGGCAATTGATTTTCTCTCTCAGCTGTCAGTGTGTTACTCTGAACAGCCTCCAGCCATGCTGATCACTTTTGTGGCAGGCGACAGTCATTCTGATGAAGCACGGGTCATCTCTTTCTGGAGTTTCTCGTGCTGTGCATGCTGCAGTACGAGAACAGTTATCCAGATGGATGTCCTGTCTCTCACAGAGCTGGTTTCGGAGGAATAGTCTGCTGATTGTTGAGGCAGAATATCTTATTCACTTTGCTGTTCTTCTTTTAAATATAATCTTCTCTTTGTATGACTGTTGATACAGATTCTTAGTCAACTGATTTCAGCACTTTTAGCTCAAAACCCACCACTGAGTACCTTGTGTGGGCTCAGTGTTTTGTTGGCCCAGGGGAAATTACTCCATGAATCTACCTTTTCACAATTTGAATTGCAATTAACATGTGCATGTGCTGAGTGAGCTACTGATGTAAAACTTAAAACTGCTGTGCTTTCATTGTGCGTCACTATGTAATGAGACTTCTTTAGAATACTTGAGTGCTCTTTAGTCCTGTCCTGTTTATTGATGTTTTGTTGTTTTATGAAGTTATCAAAGCATGTCCTAAAGGCCTGAAGAGCGCAGAGCTAAATAGCCCCTGATCCTGAATATCAATGCCAAGATGTTTGTCTCCTGGAGGAGCTTTGTGTTTGCCTTATTAAAGCTAATAAACGGATTGCAGTCGGAGCTGAGGCCCTTTGCTGTTCAAGTGATGAACAGTGACTGTGGACAACTGCGCTTGTCTTCATTCCCATGGAGCACTGCAAGGCTGGAGTGGCGTCCAACTTGCACTATGGGAATTTTCCCTCTGGGTATCGCGAAAGGTTTCGAGAGTTGTGCGCGGGAGAGAAACTCGCTGCCCTCTGTCCGGCTTTGCCTCCCAATGTCGATAACCGCGCCCCTGCTGCCGCCCTGCAGCTGCTGGTCCGTGCCGAAGCCAAGCTGGACGTGCAGGACAAGGACGGGGACACGCCCCTCCATGAGGCCCTGCGGCACCACACCTTGTCCCAGCTGCGGCAGCTGCAGGACATGCAGGACGTGGGCAAGGTGGACAGCCCCTGGGAGCCCTCCAAGAACACGGTAAGCACCGGCTTCGCTCTCGCGCCGATGTGCCAGTCCTTGCAGAGAGCCCCGGCGTCCTCTCCTCTCTTGGGCCTTTCCTTTGCGCACGAGGTCTGCTGGTGAAACGTGGTCAGCGCACGTGTTGAGCAGCGCTTTGTGAAAGATGCCGCTGTGGGAATTCCATCTTTGCACATCAGCAACAGCAAAGTGAGAGAGAAGGTCTCTTCGTTTTTGAATGTCATCCGTGGTAGGGAGGACAGATTTGTTCACACGTGATTGAGCAAAAATAGCTTTGCATCCCAGTTCTTAGAAAAAACAAATTGTCACCTTCATATCCAGATTACAAAGCCTTTGTCACCTCTCTCCACACATAATGCCAGAGCAAAAGAGTGGCACCTAGTGGTCATCTGTACCAATAAATGCTTTCATCAATCTTACTGTTAGATTTCTGTCCAAGACCCGGACAAATCTAATCGTGGTTAGCCGAGATATCCCGTAGGAGCTATCCAAAACAAATGTGGCCACCAGGCACAAATTAACTGTACTGCATGATTGTCCCATCCTTACCAACATAAAAATATTTTCTGTGGGAAGTCAGGAAATTACTTAACATGGATATGCCTTGCCTGAGGAGAAACCGAGTAAATCCATTTCTCTCAAACTGCACTGCAAAGCAAATTTAGGGATACTGAAGACTATGACTTGCGTCAGCTGTTATCACACAAAAAGTTAAATACCAGGTAGATAACGGCAAAAAACTTCATTTTAATGGCCCTGTGACTTCAGACGTGACTGCAGTAACGACTGACTCGAGTTGATTTCTTTCAAAATGTCCTTTTTCGGGGGAGAGCAGTTTTTGTCTGCTTTGCAGTCTGTCACTCATATTTTAGAACATGCCCCATATCTTAATGCCTTTTAGTGAAATACAAGCAAGCAATTTGCTTCGGAGGCTCTGCTGACGGTAGAAAACCAGGAGAGCGAGACCTGAGCCATTTGAAACGTCAGCACTATTGAGAGTGTGAAACAGTGGACTGTGCCAGACTCAAGGTGGTATAGTTTCCATAAGCATGTCTGCAGCGTAGTGTTTCAGTCCTTCATTGTGTCTGTATTCAGCAGATTCTCGTCTCTGCTTTGAGACTGGAGCTAGCCCAGGCTCAGGCGATGACCAGGGCAGGTGTAGGGGAAACTGGGTGGGTGCGGATCAAGCCTTTAGCTTCCCGTTGTGCAAAAAACAAATGTTGGTGTCTCCTTTTAAAAGCTTTGGAAGTGTATCGTGCATTACTAGCAGCCATATCGCCCTGCAACTCACAACTGGCAGCCCACTGAAGCTCAGCAGGTGTGAGCCTGGTCAGTACCTGGATGGGAGACTCCTGGGAAAAACTAAGGGTTCTGCTGGAAGAGGTGTCAGTGGGGCCAGCAGGGGGCGCTCACCCTGCGGTCTGTGTGGGTCCGAATGCCCCAGTATAGTGACGGGGACACTACACTGTAAACATCCCCATTACTTGTGAAGCGCTTTGTGTGGAGTGTCCAGAGAAGTGCTATATAAGTGTAAGCAATTATTTATTATTATTATTATTATTATTATTGTCTGCTTACAAAACATGGGAGCACTCTGAAACCTATATGGCCAAAAATCTGGGTCAGTATTTATCTAAATTAAATTAAAATGGAGTTAGGCGATTTAAATCGGATTTTAATTTTACAACAGAATTTTAAAAAAAATATATTTGTCTTCTGCTCCTTTGTGTGAGAATTGTGGTGGATTTTATGATGTTGTTTTAGTGCTGTTCGTGCTTGTTTGTGTAAAGATGTGCAGTGCTCTGTACAGCACTGTAGCCTCTGATTCATTATTTAGCCAGCACAGACGGGTCGTGCCACCTCCAGGAACGCACCATACAGACAGTTCAATGCCCTGGAGCGAATGTTGTAAACTTGATTCTGTCTGTTCAGCTGAGGCAGAGTCCTGCTGATCCCTTCAGATGTCAGGGGAGGGGTGTTGTCTGATCAGTCGCTATGATTTAACCTCTGACCTCTGACTTGAGGGTTGACGCAGGAGGTTAAGAACGGAAGCAGTTTTGAAATTTGGCACACAGTGCTAACATCCATAAATGTAAAATTGTTTCAGTGACCGTTCAGCCTTTGTCTGCAATGACTTGAAGGTGGGCTGTCTTTTCCTCCCTCATTCGGTCCCGTCAAAGCTGAACAAACACAAGACGCAAGCAATATTCTCTTCATTGCAAAAACAAAACCATGAAAAATACGTAAAGCTTAATCACTCGTCCTTTGTGTAGAATGGACTTCCAAAGTTTTTTCGCTTGGGAGCGAGCACTCTTTTCCTGCTTCTGCTTCGAAGAGGACTAAATGAATGAAAACACAGATGTTGTGAGGAGGTCTCAAAAGACCCCTGCCAAAGCGTTTGCAAAGCTGATGTCGGAGCAAACAGGCTGTTATAATTCAATATTTTCCAGCGTGGTACGTTCTGGGTGGTGCTTCAAAGCAGATCTCTCACTTGTGGGAACAAAGTCTGGGCATCGAACATGAACAGTCGTGACGGGCTGCTTGTGTGCAAGCACAGCTTTTAGCATGGGCCTCCAGTCTTGTGCACGTGCGCGCACACTCTGCTACACGCTTTTATCCCGCTGAGACCCCCTGAAGTCCGGCGGGCGCTGGGGGTCTGGCAGTCTGTCACGTGCTGTACCGTCCCCTTTCCCGCAGCTGATCATGGGACTGGGAACTCAGGGCGCCGAGAAGAAGAGTGCCGCCTCCATCGCCTGCTTCCTGGCCGCCAACGGCGCGGACCTCACCGTCCGGAACAAGAAGGGCCAGTCTCCCCTCGACCTCTGCCCCGACCCCAGCCTCTGCAAGGCCCTGGCCAAGTGCCACAAGGAGAAGACCAGGTGCGTTCACCGCCGCAGTGGAAGTCTCGCAGTTGCGCCTGAACGCGACAGCCGCCTTGAGCAGCTTTTGCTTTCAGGGTCTGTTCTGAAGGAGCCTCTGGCTGTTCACGGTAATAAATGAGCAGAATAATTTCTGCGGCTTTTGCGTTAACTGTGTCTGCGGAGGAAGTTGGCAGCAGTTGCGTGTTAAGAATTACATTAAAGGGGAAAATATATCAAGTGAGGAATCTTTTTCCATTAGCAAATGACGCCAGACTTGACTTCTCTTTTCAGAACCTTTTGAAACAGTGCAGGACCGGTGGAGTGCAGTCCAAAAGGAAAGATCAGCGATTGTGTCGGACTTAGCTGGTTTTTTTTCACTCCACTCCACCTCTCCCGCATTGTCTCACGATCCGTGATTGTGGCTGGTTTGCCTATCGCACCGGGTGCAAGCAGTGAGGCCGTGTGCCTCTGCAGGCTGTGTGAGGTGCCCGCTGCTCTCGGCTGGCCTGAGCATGCTTCTGTCTCTCTGCAGCGGGCAGGTGGGCTCCCGCAGTCCCTCCCTCATCAGCAACAGCTCGGAGACCCTGGAGGAGTGCATGGTCTGCTCCGACATGAAGAGGGACACCCTGTTCGGGCCCTGCGGGCACATCGCCACCTGCTCGCTCTGCTCCCCGCGGGTCAAGAAGTGTCTCATCTGCAAGGATCAGGTCCAGTCCAGAACCAAGGTAACCGAGCCCGCGGCGCCGAGAGCCTCTTTCTGGGCAGCTGCTGCCGCTGTTCCCATTTCACCCCGTCACAGGACAAACAGCGGTTCATCCAAGCACAACCTGGTCTGCAAGGAATGTGCGTCAGCCCTGCAGACGGTAGTTGAGATTTTTGTCAGTGCACTTCCTTGGATCTTGGGTGAATTTAAGATTTATGATTCACTTTAAATTTCGCTTAAAATCTAAGGTGTTTTTTTTTTTTTCAGTTGATGACTAAGGTTGTTTTGTGCACTCGATGGGTATTTGAGCCTAATTGAGTTATTAATCGCTGCTTCAATCATCTTTTCGCGACCGACTGTCGCTCATAAATATCGGAGCATCAGTTCAAATAATGAGATGGTTTTAGAGGCGCAGGAGAATTTTCTCCGCCCAAGGTCATGTACGTGTGTGGAAATTCCCCTGCATATTATTAAAACGGTCTTGCCTTGGCAATTTTCTTCCCACAGATCGAAGAATGTGTGGTATGCTCGGACAAGAAGGCAGCTGTACTCTTCCAGCCTTGTGGCCACATGTGTGCCTGTGAGAGTAAGTGAATAACGAGTCTCTCTCCTTCTGGAGGCACGATTAACCCTCGCAGCACGGTGAGCCTGTGACTGGGGCGGTCAGCGATGAGGTAAAACTGTGAGCTGTCACCTCTGGGCTTTACTCGCAATGTTCTTTTACAGATAAGGGAGTCTTGCAACTTGCGTTCGTGCAGAAAAAGTTTTAATAGAGGAAATTAAGATGATGTTTTACCAAAGTCAATGTATGAGTCGCTTTCATGCCAGATACCAATGAAACATAAAATTCTTGACGGTTCAGGGCACCTGCTGCTTGTGCAGTTTTCTGCTTTGTGTTCTTCCCATTGTGTATGATCTCCCATGTGCTCTGCGCAGTACCGGCTCTGGAATTCATGAGCTTTTGCATCGGTGAGAGAGGTGGCTGTATTCTCATCATTTCCCCAAATTAATTGCAGTCTTTAGGACAGTTTATTATCTGCGCATGCATACCTAAATCACTAAGAGAAACTGATAGTCATTTTACGGTCAGTTGAAGTCTCTAATAAAAATCCACAGGCACATTAGAGATGGGAGGATGAAGGTTATGTCTTAGCTGAACAAATTAGTCTGTTTTAAAATAACTGAGATTCTCAACAAGCCTTCATAATTAAATTACAAATATTAGCTTTGAGTCAGTGGAAGCTTTGGTCTTTTTTTTTTACCTGTTATTGTACTCAGATCGTAAAGGGAAGTGGTTGTGTCAGCCACTTTTCATTTAAAAACTTTTGATTCTCATTTTATACCCAACCAGTTTGGAATTGCTAATTGGCAATCGGTTCAGCAGGTCGGTAGGACCCCTGTGCTGCGTGGTGCCTTAGAGAGGGTCTGTGTCTCTCTCCTTGGCACTCCTGGCACTACCATGGCTTTCAGGGGGTTTAGGGCTGATTGGAGCGGCAGTGCGTCAACCACTGACCCCGCGCCACACTGACGGGCAATTTCCGGGGCACAGGAGGTGCTTTTGGGTGGCAGGCTGACAGGAATAATGGGAAATAGCTTGAAGAGACTACTTATGCCAACAGAAAGTTCATGTTGACATAACTTACATCCTCTCTAGATCATGATTTAAATCAAGCGATATTATGTTCATATTGGGCAATGTGCTAAAAGGCCTCATTTAGAATATTGTGTACTAATATTCTGAATGACTAATATTGTGGTCACCTCGTATTGAGGTATCGGTATTGCTGTTTTGGAATCCGTCCACAGGAAAGCGACAGGATACATTAAGGGAGTAAGGGACAGTCCTACACTGACGGGCTGAAACAACTGAACCTTTTAGTCCTGAATAGAGAAGACAGAGGTAACAAAAGAGTGCAGAATCCTCAAGGGCACCGACTGCATCCTCCCTGTAGACCTCTTCAGAACAGGCCGTGACACACAAAGTGGGTACTGTTTTGAAGTAAAACCAAGAACAGGAGGCACTTCTTGACACAAAGGGTTGTGGAGGCATGTGGCTGAGCTACCCGGCCATGATGTTGAAACGGATAATCCTGGCTACTTCAGAGAAATAGCGGGTGGCATCCTATGGTCTTAACTTGTGCAAGCCACCCCTGACTAGATGGGTCTGAATGGCCCCCTCTCTTGTGTAACCCGTCTTGAATTCTGCTGCCCCCAGCTGGCTGCGGCCCATGTGGTCCCGTTGGTTCTGAGCCAGGCTGTGCGGCAGCGCGAGGGGACTCTCTCTCCGGGAGCGATGTCTGCACACCTCTGCAACCTGCACTGCAGGAGCCTTTACTGGCTGAGTGGCTCGGGGGCCTCTCGTTGCCCATTTCTGTTGTTCAGTGTCCCTTTCCTTCCTTTTTTTTGTGTGCTTCATTCCCCCCACCTTTGCCTTTCGTGAAATCCCCTCTTTGTGTAGCACATTTTCTGTGTCTGTAAAAGCAGGAACGGTGTCACTACCTCCAATGAGAATCCTCACCTCAATAGAAAATCAGGTTTACATCTGCTGGGCTGGTGATCAAGCAGGTGGAAATCAGGAGTCGCATCTCTTGGTTTTAAAGCAATGCTTTAACTTGAAACTATAAAGTTATTTGATTGATCATGGATTATGCTCAGTATGATTGTAATCCTGTGCCACCGTGCCCACATTCAGAACAATATGCTCTAGGCGGCATGATCTCAAAATGTGACCAGATGTGCTTGTTCACTGAATATTATGAGACGCAGAGAAAAAAACTTTTTACTAGAACATTGAAAGATGGCTGGATGCCACTGATAAACCATGAATTTTATCAGCACAAAGGATTTTATAATTCTCTCTTTCTAGCTTTTGTTTTTGGTATTATATAAATTGCACACTCCGGTCCAATTGCAGGTTTTAGAGATGACTGTTTCCCTTACGTTCCCTTTTTTCTAGTCATAATCTCAGCTGCTTATAGTTTACAACAATTAATGACAGCGACGGGTTTTTCACAGCTCCAGGCTCTTGTCTTAGCGTGCTGTGGCACTGCGGGTTCCAAATAAATGATTTGTTGGTTCTGTTTCAGGATCACTTTTCACAGTTATTTCAGGGCTCACCTCACTCACATGTGTATCAGGTTCTGTTCTTCAGGAACAGTCGTGTGCACAAGTGTTCTGATGAATTCCGCCTTTGGAATAGAAAGGCAGGCGGCACAGTGGCGTGGTGGCCAGCACTGCTGGCTCGCAGCGCTGGGGCCCTGGGTTGAAATCTGGACCCGGGGTGCTGTCTGTGTGGAGTCTGCATGTTCCCCTGTGTTTGAATGGGTTTCCTCCCACCAGTCCAGAGACGCGCTGGGAGTGTGAGTGTGTGTCCCCCCCTGCGTGTCTCCTGCGATGGACTGGCGGTCCTGTCCAGGGTGTACCCCTGCTTGTGCCTGGAGCTCGCCGAGACAGGCTCGGGCTCCCCCGCCACCCTGAATTGGGGGATGCGGCTAGAAAGCGGGTGGGCTATGGAGTCCGTGCCCTGAGGCCGCGAGCGCTGACGCGGCGTGCCTGTGCTCTTGTGCCCCCAGACTGCGCCAGCCTGATGAAGAAGTGCGTGCAGTGCCGGGCCGTGGTGGAGCGCCGAACGCCTTTCATTATGTGCTGTGGCGGGAAAGGTATGGAGGATTCTGCTGAAGATCTTAGTGAGTGAATCTTCCACACGTTCCCTTTTCATTCCTTGTTTGCTTTGCCATGTTTTGTTTGCTCTCGGTTTTGACTTTGGTTTTTCTCCACCTGTGGCGTTGTTCTCGCGGGGGGTGAAGTGGAGTTGACGCGGGTGTTGTTCCCAGCCGGAAACGTGCTTTGGTGTCACGCTTCTAAAAGCAGCCTTGCAGTGGCAGGTCTGACTGACTAATCTGACCCTTTGTTTTTTACAGTAGTGATTTGTAAGAAAGGTGATTAGCATGTAATCTTTAATCTGCAATATAATGAGTCCCTTACGGCCTCAGTTCACTTCTCTAGTTTACTCCAGACATTTAATCTGGATTGAAAGGTAAGTTTTTGACTTAACTTTTGCTTCATTTAATTATTTTTTTGCAGGGCAGCTGACTTTCTTTATTCTTCAAAGAATATAGAAAACAATGTCAAGATACACTGGGGCAAATGTGTTCATTCATCTCTCTTTATTTTTGGGATGTTTTTTTGAAAGGTCACCATTTGACAGTTTTTCTTGAGTTAGATCATTTTTGCATTTTTTGGCCATTTTAGTTGTTTTTTTTTCCTTTTAAAAGGGAAACTTGCGGATTCACTTCACTGAACTTGGCGGTTCGGGAATACCATTTCCAATGAAGATTTAGTGTAGGTTCTGTAGCCCATGGCTTAATTAGACCAGATCTCTTGGAAACACAGCTTTAAACATGCATGGGTAGGAAATAAGCTACCAGCACTCATAAACCAACAGATGCCTTTGGAATGTGAGCTGTGAAAGGTTATCTCCTTTATGTCATGTTTGACGACTGAGGCTTTCTGTGCAGAGAAGGTTCTGGTCCAGGCTCTCCCACATGCTTTTCATTTCTGGCTCAGTGGGCCTGGTGAGGTACTATGAGTCACCAGGGGGTGATGCACAGTTTGAAGATTCTTACAAAGTACGTTGGGACGCATTTCTGTGATGAACAGGCATACCAAAATCTAACTAAGCTCCAGGCAGTCTGGAGTCACTGTATAACCGTGTTTATCCTAATGTTAGCAGTGTTGAAAACAATGTCTACTCCCTGCTAGATTTCATCCACCTCAGAATGCAGTTTCAACCCCCTAAGATACAAAAGGTTCTGAAGGCACTGGGTTTTTTGGAAGGTAACAACAGTTCCGACTTGCCAGGGCTTTTACGTTTTGTGGATTGCGTGTTGACACTGCTTGTTTTCTCGGGGGAGATTTCACTTATGAGAAATTAATAAGGAATTTTTGGTTTGTAAAAACAACTTTTTTGTAAATGCAGATTTTATGCAGGGCTTCATTCATTGAATGACTTAGATCTGGATAGAAAACATAGCTTGTCCTGGATATTTTCCAAAGTATAGAAAGTTACAGAAAAATGGGAGTCAGGTTTCTTTTAGAGTGTTAAAGTGCACAAGAGTTTCTCTGGAAAGGAAGAGACGGAAGCAGCAGATGACAATGAGTTGCACAAGTGGGTCAGTGATAAACTGGTGCATTACAAGGTGATAAAGTTTGCTTGGGAAATAAACTAATCCTTCACATTTTATACTTGAATCCAGTGAAGACTGACAATGTTATATTTGTGCTTTACAAAAACGTGTCCTAGAATTGTCGTGGAAGTTGCATCTTAGATCGCTCCTTACGTGAGATTAGACGTCCAGAGGTTTTTTAGTAAGGATGTTTTTGACCAGACATGTTGGATGTTACTACCAGTAACATGGCATTACTCAGAGAACCAAACTGACATGTCTTGTCAAACATGATTAATAAAGTTACAATCCTGTGGACCTCAAACACATTGGCACTCTGTGATTTCCCCCCTCTAGATTTGTACAGTATACAGTATGTCCTAGCTTACACCATGTTACTCAGTTCTGTTAGCTGAGTACCATCTGTTTTCATCTTCACTGCAGAAATCTCATAATCTGCTGAGGGAATTCCAATATGGTTTAAATACCTGTCACATTGTAATCCTGAACTGTGACAGCTGTCAGATGTGGTCAGCACTGCCTGTCTGGAACAAAATATTAGCTGTTTAATTGCTTTTTAATGTTTATCAAAGTGTTTTAAGATGGTGTCAAAGTTACTGCAGGCAGCAGCCTCTCTTGATACAGGAATGGAGAAGAGTGTAGCGAAACGGAGAGTTGTTTGAAATACCACTGATAACGGACACTTTGCAGGGTTTTCAGGGGTCTCCTTCTCGCTGGCCCGACTGTAATGTGTTTTTCTGCCCGTTGTAGCCAGTGGAAACATCCCCGCTCTGCAGAGGGACAAGGACAACACAAATGTCAACGCAGACGTGCAGAAGCTTCAGCAGCAGCTGCAGGACATCAAGGAGCAGGTAGGAGCTCAAGTGCCTGGATGTGGCCGCTGACGACCTGCAGGCATGTGCTTTTCATCAGCTCTGGGGTCGGCGCCACTCTGCCCCCGTCTTTCACGGGACCCCCCCACGCCACACTCCTCCCTAGGACACAGGAACACGCAGCCCGACGCCCGTCGGAGCCAGTCACAAATTCACATCAATACGTATCCTGTCCCTTCTCAGAAGAAAGGACAGAGCTGAGTCACTCCATTCAGAAGGCAAGCAGTGTTTCGAACTCGGCATTGAATTAATTTCCCTTTCGCAAATGCAGTCCACTCATAACTGCTTTCCTTCATGTATATAATACAAAACATCCATGAATCACTTTGTCAGTTTCAGTTTTCGGGTCCTGTTTTGCACTCCCATGATATAGAATATTGTAACAGTAGTCTCACATACTGTACTACAGTATTGCACAGTTTGTATACCTCTAAACTGCCTGAGGGAAGGGAGCCTTATCATTTGCCATCTGTTACAGTCATTGGTACAAGCAGTTTTGAATGTATTGATCTTGGGCGGCTTGCAGCGGAGCGGAGACACATAGCTAGAGTTCCCTAGCACCGTTCCAGGATCTGGCCTGCAGCTGAAGTACCCGTTAAGACAGAGAGGATCTGTGCACTTAAGTGACAGGAAGTGGTTTGCCGAGAGACTGTCTGAAGGGGTGGGTGTGTCTGCTCTTCCCAGACAATGTGCCCGGTGTGCTTGGACCGCCTGAAGAACATGATCTTCATGTGTGGCCACGGCACGTGCCAGCTGTGCGGAGACCGGATGAGCGAGTGCCCCATCTGCCGCAAGGCCATCGAGCGGCGCATCCTCCTGTACTAGACCCCCGGCCGGCCGCCCGCCTGCCCGCCCGCCCGCCTGCCTGCTCGCCCGCTCTCTTTCTTGTGCGTGTGTGTGTTTTCGTTCAGTTTCATTCAAAGACCAATCCAGTGTTCAGTCTGTCGACAAGGTCGGAGCGTGAAAAGAGTCCCGGAACAAGAGCGGAGAGCCTTCTTCAATCCCAGCAGCCCCTGTGCGCCGTGTATCCCCTCCCGACGGCTTGCTTGCTCTTTTCAGTTGCTCCGGAGGTTTTAACCAAGTGCACGTGGGGCTTCCCTTGTCAAGTGACCTTTCTCCTCGTGGCTGTAGCGTCGTCCCGGGGTTTTTACAGGGGGTTGAGGGGGTTGAGCGAGACGCTTGGCTCTGACCCCTTGTGAAAGTGTGAGTGCTCTGTACAAGACTAAGCTGGACATCCCGTGGTGCCCAGGAGAGGGGGCTGTTGAGCAAGTGAAGGTGGAGTTCGTGACTGTTCTCTTCTCGATTGGTGGGGGAATTGGTTAATTGCGGTGGTTTGATTTCATGGACGGATGTACAGAATGTTTTGTAAAATGCGTCTGCTTTATCATCTTTTTGCAATGTACACATTTAGCTGTAGGCAATTGCTTTCCCTGTGGCAGGATTCACTCGCCCAGTGTCTGTCACTGTAGATATTCTGTCAGGATGGTAACTTTACAGAACAACTAACTTAAGGGCATGTTGCACAGACTTTAACCATGCTTACAGTCTTACCAGCCACCCCTACCTAGTTTTCCTGTTTTCTTTTCTAGAGCAAATTTAGTCTGATGCCCTGGAACCTCCTGCTATTTGCTCCCACACATTGTGGAAAAGCACTCTTGACACTGAGAGAACTGAGCTCAGACCCATGCTGCTGCTTTGAGCCTGCAGCACCTCTCAGTACCTGCATTTCCCCTCCAGAATTCCCAGCTGGTTCTCAAAGCAATGCTGCATACCATGTCTGAGCAGACAGTAAGAACACGGTCAGCTCAGTCCTTCAGCTCATAGCATGTTTGGAGAAACTTCACTTCTAACCCGATCCATCTGAACTTGACCACCTGAAGGGCTTTTTGCTTTGTGAACCGTGTAAAGGGTGAATTTGTAGGATAGCAGCAGGAAAAATAATAAAAGGCCAAAATGTTGTAAAAATCTGTGCCCCTTTCATGTATGCAAGTTACATTGAAGGTTCAATGTTTCATTTTTTAAAGGGGATGGTGCCGGTTCTGGCTGTGTTTAACTGCCATGTTTCTTTAATACTCAAAATAACATTAATAAATATGTTATCTGACTTTCTGTCAAGAAAGCTTTGTATTTCTTATGTTTCCTCCACTGGATGTTGCATGAGTGTCTCACTTTCCGAACTGGTGTTTCCGGAGATATGCGTCTGAGAACGAGCACCAAGAGGTTTTCCAAAGGCCCTGGCTTTGCTTAACGAAGACAGTTTCATGTATCTCAAGTAATGTGCTGGGTTTGCAACCCCAGTGTAGCATCGCTGAGCCTGAACATGCAACATCATGGTTGGGATAACAATGTCACAGTGCCACTGGCAGTCAGGAAGCTGGCATGATGGCAGAAGGTGCTGACTCTTGTGTGCAGTCCGATATTAAAGTACAAATGTGGAACATGCACTTGAAAGGATGATCTTTCCTTTGATATAAAAGTGTAAGGCAGTTTATACAGAGCAAGGGATTGGAGTGTTCTCTTTACAAGCATGCATGGAATTAATTGATCTTTAAGGGCTTCGGTCATGTAAAAGTACTTTAAGTACGTTAAACAGAGATAAGGTACAGATGTGACGGCCTCTTCTGAAAGCAGCATATTTTCTGAACATGTTATACATTGTTGACCTAAGTACTCGGTGTGCTTTTCATGTTTTTATAGCAGGCCGATCTAGAGCACAGTTTGTTTTTAAGCATTTTTGTGCTGCCAAAAATGTAGGCAATTAACTGTAAAAAAAAAGTCTTAAATTTACAATTTTTGTACAATGTGACTTTTACATTGGTACAAATGTAAAATATTTGCTATGAAGTAGAGCACCGCTTCTTGCAAGCAGCTGTGATAACTTGCTGTTCTTTGCAGTCCTAGGCTGTAATGTGAGAAGCTACATGTGTGCTTCGCTTTAAAACACTGGAGGATCGTTCTGCTCGGTTTCCTCCATGTGTCCATCTACACGTGTGGATGCTTATCCTAACTGGCTGCTGATCTCTGAATGAAAAAACATTTCATTCTAAGGGGGCTGTCAAGTACAGCGGGTCGTCTGAAAATGCTAGGACTTACCCCTGGAAAGCTTTTCCTTTCGCATTGCTGCTCTCATTAAGACTGTAGGTATTGCTGCTTTCTGGAAGTAAGGGCTTAGTTAAATGTAGCTGTTTTGACTGTGGGCGCTAAGCTCTCAGATTCTTTAACAAAAAGTGTGGTTCATGCAATAGTTCAGAAAAAAGTATGCATTTAAAACACTAAAAATCCAGGCATTTTAAAGTTTTTAAAGACTTGTTTTGGGGCTTGTCTACAGGTGTGATGTATTTAAGCCTGGTGTGATCTCGCTACGTAAGAAAGGACTTGAGTAGATCCATCGTATTGCATTGAATACGAGAATGTGTCACGGAGAGGTAACCAATCGAAAGTGTCTTTCGGATCAGGATACTCAGTAGAAACACATTAGAGAGGAGTTTTACTCTGTCACTTATGAGCCAGCCGTTTCGCTTGTTTTTAAGAAGTGCAGCATAGTTCTGCGGTCTTGTTAGAAAAAAAGCATGGTGTCAGAGGCTTTCAGTGCAAATAGATTTAGTTTTTAAAAATCCGCTTTTGCTTTCACTTGCAGATATTTTTTTTTATTTCAAAGTGTTCTCTTAACGTTTAAGCTAGATGCACTAATGTACTTTACTGGTAGTAATGTATTTTTATTTTGTTGCAACTATTAGGTTGTTTTGTTTTCCGAAAACGCTTTTTTGCGGTCTTGTAACTGGAAGGTTTTAACAGCTTTTGTTATTTTTGTTTGGGGGGGAGGGGGGCAGGAACGTTTGTAACGTGAGAGAATGTGTAACATGAAAGCTGTCTATTTCACTTTGTGTTACTGAGTGATCGAGAATAAACACCTTGTTGATACGAATCGGTCTTATGAACTTAAAGCTTTGGGAATAAACATCATGTTGCCTCATTTCTGCCTTTGTGTTTCACTCTGTTTGCAGTTCTGCACCTTACATCCTGCAGGTTGTCCTCACGTCTGGATAAAAAGAGTCAGATTGTCTTAGGTTTCATGTTCTTACCCCTGTGGTCTCGTGCATCCTAGTGAGGAGAATGTGTCTTTATCCACACAGGTAACAGCAGGAGCTTCGTCCTTCATCCTGCTGACACAAGCGTGACTAAATCAGCTGGGTCATACGTACCTGCAATCACGTACAGAGTGATGCGGGTTCACCTGTGTGAAAAGTGGCTGAAGAAGTACTGAAAAAATCTATTTGTGAATCGTCTCATCTTGAGATTTATCAACCCTAGCATTTATAATCTTGGCTTTTCGGGGTTTTCCCCCAGATTAAGAACCGCAGCCATGGGAATATGCAAAAACCCTCTTTTTCGGGACAGTTAATCCCGAATTGGGGCAGAGCGGTGGCTCTGTGGCTCAGGATCTAGACCTGTTGCTGGAAGGTTGCCGGTTCGTGTCCCGCGGCCGGCAGAGGAATCCTACTCTGTTGGGCCCCTGAGCAAGGCCCTTCACCCCAACTGCTCACGGGGTGCTGAGCTCTGACCCCAAGCTTCTCTCCCTGTCTGTGTGTCTCATGGAGAGCACGCAGGGATATGCGAAAAGACATTCCTAATACAAGAAATGGTATATGGCTAATAACGTGATCTGATCTTCTCAATCCTTATTGCCCACCCCTCTCCGTTTTCTCCCAGAGTTATCGGATGCAAAATTTGAGATCTGTTCCCAGCTTTTAATGAACAGCTCAAGGAATGGTGTCTTGTAGAAATGTGCTCCCCAAAAGCGTGCCTTTTGACGTGACAATGCGATCGAGCAAAGGCTTGTTTCTGTCTTGCAGCAGGCTGCGGAGTAGGGCCGTCGTTCATCATGCGAGATGGCAGGCTGACATCATTTGGTGCTGGAGACAACACTATCTTCTTAAAGCCCCGTGAGGCTGCCTGTGTTTGTTTTCTGTGCAGCTCAGGTCGTTACACCAGTGTAGCTCTAGATTTCAATAGTCAATTAACTGCTCGGGAGCCCCGCTGTGCAGAAGCCCTTGGATGGTGGCGGTCTGCTGTGACTGAGATGGATGGAGCTCTGGGGGCTGGGTCACCGCAGGACCCCAGGACAGTGGCTTTGAGCCGCGGAGATCACCATGTGTCTCCCCTCCCTGCTCCCGAGAGCGGGTGAGGGTCAAGTTTACTATTCTGCCTCGCCCAGCTACAGAAGCAACGGTTTTCTTTAACGTTTTCTTTCAGGAAAGTTCCGCACCGACGTGCGTTGGGTTTGTTGTCAGATAGTTTGGGAGTGTAAGCTGTGGCGATTCGTGGTTGGACTTCGGTTAAAAATGTATTAATGCAGCAATCATCATGGGACAAGTATTTAAAACTCCTTGAAAATATTTCATATATAAGATCATTTTGGAGGAGCATTTTTTTCTTTACAAAGTGTCAAATTTGATCAGTTCTTCCTGTTCGTTTATGTAATGGGACAAATACATCCGATACAAATGAAGAGTATTGCATATCTCACGGACCATTTCAAATAGTTTAGAGTCAGCTTGGCATACTGTAATGTTTCAAAGTGCTCTGTACTCAAGTAATCCATGTTTGAACACTTTTGTTTAACAGACTAATTAACGTAGGCAAAACTCTCCTCAATACCACTTGTTCTATTCACCTGGGTAATTAGTCGCCTTTGCATAAACAAACAGCCTCCTCAGCCGAAAAAAGCCTTTTCAGACATCTTGATTAAAGATCAGTCCAGGGGACACGACTGCCGGCTTCACATTAAGACTTTGCCAAGTGTGACTGACATCATGCATACTATAGTCATGCACCCCTGGGGATTACCCTGCCTTTACTACTGAATTTATAAATATTAATGTTACAACACTAAATAGTGCTCCATTTTGTGAAATTTGTATTCAGGGAGGTGTTTGAAACATTAATTAGAATCTTAAATCAAATACCTTTGATAGAATTTGCTTCATTATTTTAAAACGAAGTTACTGGGATGATGTATGCACTTAAATTCCGTTGTTCTCGGGTCTGTTACGCCACAAGAGGGCAAAAGAAAGAAAACAGAAAACAATCAAATGGATTTGAATTACAGAATTATTGCTTCTTGGATTATTGTAGTCACATCTGTGTAACACTGTAGATCACTCCAGTTCTGTACAGAGATACTGTAGTGTGATGGTAATGGTATGCTGAATTGCTTTTTCAAACGACTAAAATGACTGGAAATAGCCAACAGAGAATTATTTGATAAGAAAGTGCATTTAATGATTTATGTTGAACTTTAAACAGAGGGCCGGGGGGACACGGGGCAGGTGTGCAGATTTCCCAGCTCCACAAGGTGGTAGTGTGGCATTTCTGCAGACCTGTGCCGCTTCCAGAAACTGGCGCGTGGGTGTCTGGCTTGAGCAACAACCTCTTGCAGACCACAGAGAAGTACATTGTAGCCCCCCATAAATCAGCTTCAGGGTGCTCTTTTGTCAGAATCTAGAGAGCGGCAAGCAAAAGGTTTTTAAAAAATCCAATGATGTACATGATGAATTTTCAGTATTGGGTTCGGTCAAAGAGTGTTTCAGACGTGGTGTGATGGAAGACTCCAGACTGCCACCTGGTACCAGGTCTCCTTCCTGCCGGAGTTGTTGAATTTGCATGTTTTAAGACCCCTATGTGTTGTTCGGGGAACGTTGTAGCCAACCAATACAAGTGCTCTGAAGTGCACCGCTTTATAGCAGCTGTCGGCAAATAACAGGCTCCTCTGGAGAAGAGAGAACTGTGCTGAGTTTGCCTGAAAGTTGAGCCGCCCCTCAGTAAAGTACTAACTTGGCACTCTTTTCTCCTGCACTTCATTTTGCATTGTCCTGATACGGAGATTGTTTTATTAGTATTGATCGGGACAAAGTTTCAGCTGCCTCCTTCCTACTGGCTCCAGTGAGAAAAGAAAAGCGCATTTCACGCAGAAGGTAATAACCAGAGTAGAGAGTCTCTGCTGTATGATTCCGAATGAATGCATTCCTATTTTTTATTAACTAGAGTACTACATCTCTGAAAATATTAAGGGAACCTTTAAATACCACCTCAGACCTTTCCTATCTCACTCAGTTCAAAGCCATCCACGTCCCAGGGTGGATAAATAAATATTTGAATGCTTTTAACTGTGGGTATTACGAAGAAATTATTCATTGTTGTTTTTTTAACAGTACCTTCTCTGATGATGATTCTTTTGAAATGTTTATACAGAATATTCCAATGAAAATTAGGAGAGAAATATGCCATATCTGAAATAAGAATGTAATAGCCGTACACTGTTTTTTCCTACAGCATATTTATTCACTGCCTAGATGTGATCGCTGTGAACAGCTGGATTGTATATAGTGTCTTGAAGACAGAAAAGATCTCTTGAAATGATTACACTCCATTTCCAGGATAAATACAATTATTTTTCATACACAGTACAAACTCTAAATCTGCAACTTTTTATAAAGCTGACTGGGAAACCCAAGATAAATGTGATTACCTTAAGCAGGTAAATAATATTTATTTTAAACATTGCACACATTGTACTATAAATGAATTAAAATAAGTACCAAACTCAGAATTGTATTATAATTGCAATTTATTACCACCTTTAAATGGAACAGACTATTCTGAATTATTAATTGCAACCATTTCTCTTCCTAGTGGAACCCCATGCAGGCTCTTTGGCAGTAAAGGATAGCTCTGTGTTTGGGTTCTATTACAGGAGAACATGCATATTTAAAGGTAAAAGAAAATTACTTGCAGGTTTTTAAGCAAAATGTAGCTTTAAGCAAAACGGCACGGTTTCATCCAGTTTGAGTTCAGAAAGACCTGCTTTCTACCTTTACAGTACCAGGGCCTGATAGTACTTCCACAGAAACTCCTTTAACCCAAATTACAGGTTTACACTAAAAATGATTCTTCATTATACTTGCAAAACATCTCAGTAAATGTAAATGTTTTTAAAATTTCATTTTATCCAGGATTCTGCATTTGAGGCTTCTTGCTTCGTTGATGATGCTAATTGAGAAGTTTTCATTTTTGGTGATGGTCTGGAGACCCAGGTGTACAAAAGGGAATTTACTGGGATGATCTGAGTGAAGCGCCTGGCTCAAGGATGTGACAACAGCACTACAGACTTGCACACGAACACAGTTCCACTCTTCTGTCAAACACCTGCCCCTCTAGCTCTGCACATTTCCTTTTCATTCTGTAAAATAATCTGGAGCCAGGCTGTCAATAAGGATGCATACACAGACGCATACTTCCAGGTAGTCAATATTGAGTTGTCTGACAATGCTGGATCAGCTCCAAAGGACACGTGGAGAATGATAAACAATTAAAACAATCGTGAAAGCAATGTCCTCTGAGGCATCCCCTGGCTGGTTGCTCACAGGGAAAGATGACAGGTTCTCCAGGTTTCCTCCGTACTCGCTCCAGAAAGACGGCGGGAAGAGAGGATCCGTTCAGCTCCTGCACAGCCGCAGTGGACCAAGACAACAGGAGGGTGAGAGGGGCGGCAGTGGCCCTCGAAGTGCCACATCAGAGCGAGCCGGCCGGCAGCGTGGATTAGTCTTCCTCCCTGCCCTCGGACTCCTGTGGGCTTGGGCTTCCTTCCGTCTGCTCTTAGTGACCACAGCAATAGCTTGTGTCTAATGGCTCAAGCAAAATTGTCCACAATACTGTCGACTCGCAGCTTTACGCAGTCGGCCCCGGAAAATAAAAAATATTGTGTAAATGCTCTATTTTCTGGATAATGCATCAAGCACTAGCTTAGGGAAGGTAGTTAGTGAGCCTATACAGACATCTTAACTACTTTTATTTACTTGAATTCACTGTTTTTACCCTGAGTCACCATAAGAGTCTGGGGGTTTTTGTATGAGGTATACAGCAAAATTTGACGATTTGCGTATTTGGCTTGACTTGCTACTCAAAACAGAAGCA